CACGTATATGCCTATGTTGCTGAATCATTTGAAAGTTAATTGCTTGACATTGTAATACTTGGTTTTTAAATACTCAGGATACACCTGCTAAGAATAACGTTCTCCTATATAACCTCAATACTATTATTATATCCCAAAATTTATTCATATAATAACCCAATATACAGTTCCTCAGAAACACTGAGATCAAGCTATACATGTTGCACATTTCTTGGAAAGACATAATTGTAGCAAGATCTCTTCGATAAGTGGACCTTAATTATGCACCAATGTTTATTATTCATGAGAACTCTTGTAGATCTTGTGTTAGTGTGACATAGCACACTTTGACCTATTTATATATTCCAGGGAAGGCAATGTTTCCCCAAGTAGCTGGGATGCTAAATGCAGATATTGATTTATTCACAGAGCCATAAAACTTGTCAAAACCATAAAACTGCTCTCTCTTTATCAATTGGCCCAAATTAATAATTTGAGCAGGGATATTTTAAGACATTTTCAGATATAAACAATTTAACAAAAACGCCAAGTAATATATGTGAGACACAAATAGAAAGCAATTGATCTGAGGCTATTACTTAGATATAACAAGCAAGGTTTTATCATATCAGAAATATCCAAATGTCCACAGAGAACAGAGCTAGAGGCCTATTTCCAGCAGTTGATTTCTCAGCTCACAAGGATCCTGCACACTTTAGTGTGCTCAGTTCTCAGTTTGAAGGGCAATGCGTTCCCCTGGTTTCCTGTCACATTTCCCTCTTGTTGGCTATTATAAGAAGAGACTTCTCATTTATTTACGAGATGTCTCAGTTACTGTCATGAAACAGGTCATGCTGAACTCCAGTCCTTCCTTCTCCAGATCCCTTGAAGCTGGAGCAGATGGCTAGATGGTATTTTCAACTGCAGGCTTCCTGTTGCCCAATAGTCATTTATCCACAGACTTTGCACGAGACTAACATTCTTGCAAAATCATATTTTTTTATTTTCCATTCCAAGCATTTAGGGCTTTCTTAGTCTTTTCCTTAAGTTAACATATTAATTAGGGGTGAAGAAATGGGTGGGGGTAAATAGAGGAATATACAAATGTGGGAAGGGAAAGGTTATGCTTCTTACTAGTTTATAGCTTTTCCTTTCCATAAGTCCAAAGAATAAGATACTATTGAAAACGTTATGATAAGTACTTCAGAAAGAAATATCAAGACAGAAGAGTTCCTGGTGTATAGGGTACAAGCGGGGACTTGAAATGGAAGGAGCAACCATGATTAAGAGAATAACAGAAGCCGTTGGAGACTTGAAAAACATTCCTCTGGTCCTGAAGGAAAGAGGGATGCAGGGTAAGTAATAAGAGATGACATACAGAGGGCACTCAGGAAATGGGACCTGGCTGAGGAAACACAGGCCCGGATAGTTCTTTTGGGTCCAAAGAGTTTGGGTCTTCTTACTGGGCAGATACAGATCCTTGGGACGAGGACCTGCATTGTTAGATGAACACCAAAACTGATACCCAATCACAACTCTTTGTCACTATATAAACACCTGCCCTGGGGGCTCTGCCACAGGTATAAGGGACGACTTTTCATCTCTCAGCAAAATAAGATTTTGTAAGATATTAACTTCAGTGACATCAGCAATATGGCGGATTAGGAAGCCCCAGGGCCTCATGAACCCATGGAGACACCAAATTAACAACAATGTGTGGACCAAATTGCCTTTGTGAGACCTCCAGAAATCAGTTAAGAGGATGCAGCACCCCAAGCAAGCACAAAACCAAGAAGAGATGCATCAAAGTGGATAGGAAAATATGTCGCATTTTACCCACTCTAGCCACACTCCCACCCTGGCACAGGGTGGTGCATTCGAGAGAAAATTCCCAACTCTAGGCTTCTTCCTCAGGAGGGACAGACGAGTGGACCATGTGTCCAACTTTCAGGTTTTTCAAGGGCCTGCCAGAAGGATTGGTTTATTGTCTCGCCTGACTCGGAGTGTTGATGGGAATCAGCATAGTTTGGATGTGAGGTTGGGAGTCGCTGAGAACAAAGGCAAACACCATGGCTGTTACAGCACCACAGAGACTGTAGTACTTCAGACACACACCAGAGGAAGAAAGAGAGTATAGGCTCCAGAGGAAAAAACAGGCAAAGCTCTTTAACTGGGAGGCTTACATGCACAAGCTCAGAGAAGGTGCATCCCCAGAAAAAGTTTGAGAGGTCTCCAGAATCTCTAGCCATGCCGATTGGTGATGATCTTCCCCATTACAAAGCTAGTCTGTAGAGACAGGAGGAGGTAGCTTTTTTTTCAATTGCCAAAAGCTCAACAAAAGATCACAAGATATACAGAGAAACAAGAAAACATGGCCCATCCAAACCAAAAGAAAATCTCTAGAAGTTGACCTTAAAGAAAAAGAGATCTATGAATTACCTGATATCAAAAAGATTCAAAGATACTCACAATCATTGTAGCATTATTTGCAACAGCCAAGAGGTGGAGGCAACACAAATGCCCAGTGACAGATGAATGGATAAACAAAAGACATACAATGGAATATTAGTCAGCCTTAAAAAAGAAGGAAATCCTGTCAAACACTACCACATGGATGAAACTTGAGGCCATTACACTAAGTGAAATATGCCAGTCAAAAAAAGACAAATATTGTGTGATTCCACTGATGCGAGGTCTCTAAAGTAGTCAAATTCATAGAAACAGAAAGTAGAATGATAGTTGCCAGGGGCTGAGGGTGGAGAAAATAGGAAGTTGCCCTTCGATGGGTATAGAGCTTCAGTTTTATAAGAAAGTAAAAAGTTCTAGAGCTCTGTTGTACAACAATGTGAATATAATTAACACTATTGAACTGTAGGCTTAAAAACAGTTAAGATGGTGAATTTTATCTTATATGTTTTTAAACACAATTAAGAGTAAAGAAATTAACTTGAGTTAAACAAAAACAATGCCTTGTTTCTTGCACACATGCCTTTACACAAAAGTCACAGAAAACCCTTGTGCTTCTAGATCAGTGGTTCTCACTTTGAGGGTGAGGAGATTTTGTTCCTCTTCCATCAGGGGACATTTGGCAATATCTGGTGACATTTCTGGTTGTCATATCTGGGTTGGGGCTTGTTACTGGAATCTAGTGAGTGGAGGCCAGAGATCCTGTTAAACATCCTACAGTTCACAGGACAGCACCCCTTCCCTCCCCCCGCCATCCTACTACAAAGGATTATCCAATCCAAAATGTCATTAGTGCTTCTTTTGAGAAGCCCTGTCCTAAATTATTAATCAGCATGTGTCATTGTTGTGTTTGTCTTTTCCTTCCAAGCTGGGTTAGCAGAATTCAGACTCTGGGAGCAAGAAATGGTCGAGGCAGGAAGGGTCTAAGCTGAGAGCATAGAGAGAGGAGTCTCTTGTTCAGACATTACTGAAACCCACGAGAAAAGAAAATAAAAATAAGAAAGGAGGAGGGAGATGAAGCTTTGTAAGGCAGAGATTGGTATTGGGAGTTTGGATGAGGAAAGTGTAAAGGAAAGACATTAAACAGACCACTAGTGGGTCACGGCTCTGTAGGGTTCTGTACTAAGTACCTTACATGTGTTATCTCATGCAATCCTTGTAACTTCTCTGAAATCATGTAAAATTATTATAGTACAGACAGAAAAATAGACTGGATAGGGAATCTTGGCTTGGTTTGATAGATTTAATTGGTTATAGAAAGTGGTTGTGGTTGTCCCTTAAAGGGCTGGTTCCTTCTTTGTCAAAGCCCAGGAGGAGAGCTGTACCTCACTATTTCACTGAGTGCTGGGATGGTGATCAGGGCCAAGGCATGATGGGAAAATGCCAGCAAGTGACTTGGGAGATGAGAGGGGGCGCCAGAACCCAAGAGAGAGGGGGTGGAGGTTCTTCTGTTGCTCTTCCACAGCTTTCTGGGTAAGTTTGTTTCCTCTTCAGACTCATCTCTAAAGTTTAAAACAAGCGGATTGCATTTAGTAATCTGTGTCATTCTGGTCCTGAGAATTAAGCCAACCTTCATGGTGTTTCTTAACTCCTTTCTTTACCAGATGAGTTAATGTATGGAGTTAAGTGCAGAAGCATGGCCTCCTGAGGTGACAGTGATGGTTCAGGCTCTGTTCCTAGGTTCCTTCTGGCATCCCCCGAGGAAAGGAAGGAGCTTGTGGAGTGGGGTGGTTCAGCCGCTGTGACTGGCTCTAACTCTGGTGCTCTTGCCCCATACATCAAAATCAGCTTCGAAAGAACACCCACCTAAGGGCTTGAAGGGGCACAGGAACCTCTGTTTCACAACACTGTCCCAAGGTGAGTTTGTTGAATTTAGCAAGGTCCTGCTGAATCTTCCCCATCTATGTCCCTACCCAGTTTCACCACTTCCCTGAAGGTGCCCAACTTTTCCGGAAGGCGGTGAGCTATTGCTAGAGGAAGAGAGAGACCAGAGAAGAAGGTGACTCTTTAGGGGGCAGTGGGTGCTGGAAGGCCATATTTGACCTGCCCAGAGCCTAAAGAATTGGAAAAAAAGAAAATATATATATAAATAACAAATATATTTCTGTGTTCTATTATTATCATCAGCTATATACTATTGAATGCTCCTGAAAAGCATTAGTCATTCTTACTATGGTTAGCTATATATTATTCAATATTATTATTTGTCAATATTCCTATTACAATCAACATTACTATTATTAGTTACATATTATTGAATGTTCCTTGGAAGCAGTAAGCCTTTTGTAAACACTTTCTCTAATCTTCATAACAAATCTCCAGTGTTGATGTTATTCCCCTATTTAACAGATCAGAAACCTGAAGTTGAGAGAAGAAAACACCCTGTCTAACACAAGGAGCTAGTAAGTATTGAGGTAGCAATTCACACATAGAGCTCCATGACTCCCATATCTTCCCAATCATTAGCTGGTTCTACTTGTGATTTTTCTGAAGATGCTAGGAGTTTAGAAAAAAAGGAAGTGTGGGTACATTTCACAAATCGACAGTCTCTAAGTATCACATCCTGTGTAGCTGTAAACACTGGACTAAGGAAGGACTGGTGACTTTCAAAAGATAAAGACAAGTAAGAAATTCTGAAAGGTCTGTATAGGAACCCAGAGTTAAAACTTGCTGGAAGCTTTGGAGAGCTTAGCTGGAACCAACGGGCTGATCCTTGGGCACAGGTAGGCAATGCTGGGAGACTTCTCACTCACCAGTCCCCTGCTGTGATTCCTGTAGAGGGGATATTTGATTTGAAGCTCCTTGAGAGAAGTTAAGAGACACTGGAGTATTTTGGAAATAGAATGGGCAAAGGGAAGGCGTATCAGGTTGTAAGCATTTCTGCTGTGTTCTGACGGTCTTGGTGAGGCCCTACTCTGAGGTCGTGTAATTAATGGGAGGGCAGCTCTTGCCTCTTCAGATGTTCTCAGGCCATGGGCAAACTCTGCAGTCCAGACGCTGAGAATGGTGCAGTGAAGAGAGATCCAAGCTGATCTTGGATCTTGCTCATTAAGGCTGACAAGTAGAAGATCCAGGCCTTGAAACTAGGTTTTACGACTCCAATTCTGTTCTCAAACCACTGCATACAGCTGCTTCTCCACACTGAGTAAACCCTGACACAGTCTGTTGTTGCCAAGTGGAAAGGAGGAAGAGGCAGCATGATCTAGTGAATTGTGCAAAGGCTCCAGTTTCAGGGATAGCTAGGGTCCAACACTGGCTGTACGACTTCCCAGTTGTGTGAACAGCCCTGAGTCATAACTATAACTGCAAATATTTCTTCAACATTAACTCTATGCCATGCATATATGCAAAATGTGTATTACTTCTGTTCCTAGTAAATGTTTTGATTCTGGGTCTCCCTAGATATTACGTGGTCTTGCTAATTAACTAACTAACTAACAAACACACAGGTTGTTGTAAGGATTGAAGACACTGCAGGATAACGTCTAGTAAAATATGATAAAAATATCTAGGATTAATGCTAATAAATATTATTATTATTAGACCAAAGAAAATGAGCAGAATTAGAGAGTCTGAGCAGTACAGAACTGAACTAGGAAAAGGTTGGCAAATAGAACCCTTATTACATCTCATGACTGGTAGGGGAGTTTGAGGGTGAAATTCATCAGATATATGGCAATTCAATTGATGTAGGTAGGATTAGGGGAAAGAGAAATTTCTATATATTGCAATTTTTGTGTGACCACTTGCCTCTGAACATTAAGGCTTCTCAATATTCATGTTGCTGCCTCTCTGTGATGTGTTTATTACCTAAAATCAATGGACTGTGCCAAACATTATGGAAAAATATTCATGAAACCAAGATTTTGTGGTTTTTACAACTCCATACTACCAGTTTCCTTCCTTAAAGGACAAGTCAAGTCTGGGCTAATGGGAAAGTACTGGCTTGCAGTTTTAGGAGTCAAACCTTGGTGCTCTGTATTTTGTAAGTGCAGAGTTTATTTTCTCTTCCAGCCTTGGCAGCACCATCATGATGTCACAACCCAAGACCAATGAGACCTTCATAGCTCTCACACCAAATGGCATCAGCTTCCTCCAAACAGAGGATCCCAAACTTACCAACAAGAGGCAGGACAGCCTGAAGAAACATCTAAAGGCAGAGGTCAAAGTTCTCGGGGTAAGCCCAATTCAGAACATGTTGGAGTGGGACGGAGGAGTGAGAACGGGAAGAAACTGTGTATATCTTGGGAACAGAGATCCCTTGTGAGTGTGAAGACCCTTAAGTTATGCCAGAGGGACTCCAGGTTGATCTGAAGACCAAAGGAAGCCACTTAGAGAGCCATCTGAACCTTCCCCAGAACTTTTCCCTATAAGATAGTATTAAAAATGTTTTTTCCCCTATTCTGAATATGAGAAATTGAGGATTTTTGTTGTTGCTTCTGTATTTTAGTAATAAAATATTTCTCTACATTTTCTTTCTTTTTTTATTTTTGTGAGAAAGATTTTCCCTGAGCTAAAATCTGTGCCAGTCTTCCTCTACTTTGTATGTGGGATGCCTCCACAGCATAGCTGATGAATGGAGCAGGTCCACACTCGGGATCTGAACCCACCAATCCGGGCTGCCAAAGTGGAGCCCACAGAATCCCAACCATTCAGCCATGGGGCCAGCCCACTGCATAGAAAAAGAAATTTTTTAAAAAAGCACTTTCTTTTTTTTTTTTTTCAGGAAGAGTAGCCCTGAGCTAACGTCTGCTGCTAATCTTCCTCTTTTTGCTGAGGAAGATTGGCCCTGAGCTAACTTCCTCTAATTTATATGTGGGATGCCTGCTGCAGCATGGCTTGACAAGCAGTGAGTAGGTCCACACACACCTGGAACCAAACCAGCGAACCCTGGGCCGCAGAAGTGGAATGTTAGAACTTTGCTGTGCTACCGGGCCGGCCCCAAAAGAACACTTTATTGAGGTGTAATTGGCATACAAAAAGCTGCCCATCTATATATATTTTATAAAAGAAACGGTGGTAAATAATTATGTATTTTATATACATTTTTTTCTGTGTGTTCACCTATTGCATGCTTAATAATCTGACTGATTTTTTGAAGGGAGTTTTCCCCTCACTACAACTTACAGGAAAAAATGAACTTCCTTCTCCTCTTTTCTCCTTCCCTTTTGAGAACAGAAATGATATTTACTTCTTGTTTGTTCCCTCATTTCATGCATGATTTATTAAAGAAATTCTTTAAGAGTGAAGGGAGGAGGGAAGGAAAGGGTATATCTAGGACTGGGAAGAAAATATAGAGTTCTGCTTCCTAGACTTGTCTCTGCAGGTGTATGATCTGAGGTGAGGCAACCCATTTGACCAGGTTTCAGAATCTAGTAGGACTGATTGCCTTGCCTAAAATATACAATCATGTGGCTACTGTGAGGCTCATATGACTTATGGTTTAGAAAATTGCTTGGTAAATATTTATAGAGCTATAAATGTCTGAGGTGGATGTCAAGGAAGAAAACTTTACCTCATAATATAGAACTTCAGAATCCTCAGCTATAGGAATGCAAACTAAAGAGGACAAGACTCTATGTTGTTGTGTCCAGTGGGGTCTGGGGGATGTAAGGAGGAGCTTCCTCCCTCGCCAGTGCTCAAGAGAGTGTGAGGGCATTCAGAAGTTCCCTGTTCCTGTAAGAGGTAGAAGGAAAGTTAGTAGCAATGGAATTGGAGAGCCAGGGAAAACAGATTCTAACACTCATTATGAGCTGAGAGAAGGGTCGTGAGCAGACAAGGGCAGAGAGGCAGAAACGCCTGAAGGCTCGCTGAGTACCTGCCAGATGGTCCAAGGCAGTAGTTTTCTGTGGCACAACGGCATCTACTCCAAAATATCTTTTCACAGTTCTCACTCCAGAACTTTTACAGTGACATTATCCTCGCTGGGATCCTGCAGAAGGTGAGCACCGTGGAAGAAATGAAGAGATCTTTACAAGTGCTGATTTTAATCTTCCATCTCACTTCTTCCAACAGACTATCCAGATCCTGTGTGGGATGATGGTGTTGAGTTTGGGAATTATTTTGGCATCGGCTTCCTTCTCTCAGCATTTTACCCAAGCGTTTTCTATTCTGTTGAAGGCTGCTTACCCATTCATAGGAGCCTTGTGTGTGAGTAGAGATCCTTAGGAGGGCAACATGGGATGGAAGTGGGAGGACGAAGCCAGTAGTTTAGGCTCTTCACGTCACCTTGCTATGTTTCTGTCTGCCAGGAGCAAGGGGTCAATGGTAGAACTTCTTCTCTTCTGTGTGTAGTCCAGGGAAGAATTGAGTGTGGTGGGAGGGCAGAAGTTACCTGATTTTAAATCTAGTTCATAGCTGACTCAAAATAATCATTTCTTTTGGAGATCATCTTACTTTTCACTCCATCATCTTGAGCTATGATGAGGCAGGTGGCTTCTCTCCAGGTTTAGGTAAAAATCCGTGAAGTAAAGTAAAGTTGGGCAGGAACTTTCTATACAGTAAACTGAGCACCAATGAAAGACATTGCGCACTTACAGAGAAACCCACACGTATCTGTGGGAATCATGGAGGAAGGAGCATTTTCATCTCCAAACACTTTGAAAATGCTTTTTGTTGCATTTAGGGGCACCCAGGGCCTACTGAGCCAATGTCTGTGCTTTAGTGCTGGCCTGGAAATTCCTCTGAAATAGCTTCAAATCTGTGGCATCAAGAGGACCTCAGTGGTTCTTTTCTCACAGAACATATTTCTTCTAGATTAAAGTGGATGAGTCTTTCTCACAATTAACTTTTTCTTTCACAGTTTTTCTGTCAGCTTCTCACAACTTAGTAGCTATCATTTGCCTTTCTACACTTGTTTCTCTATCTGATGCATCCCAAAGTCCACCTTTTTCTTTAACTGGTCCTTTTGTCTTCTTTTATTAACTAAAGTCAACACTTTATTTGGATTTCACAACTTTTCCCCAAAGGTCTTTATTCTGTTCTATGATCCTGTCAAAGATACTGCATTTAGTCATTATATCTCCACAGGTTCCTCTAGACTTTCTCAGACTTTCCTTGTCCTTGATGACTTTGATAGTTTTGAGTAGCACTGACATGATTTTTGTAGAATATCCCTAAATTTTGGTCCATCTGATGTTTCTCTCATGTTTAGACTATGGTGATGGATTTTTAGGTGGAAGACGACAGAGGTGAAGTGTCATTATCATCAATTCATTTCAAGGGTACGCACTATCAACATGATTTGTCACTGATGAAGTTAACCTTGATCATGTGGCTGAGACAGTTTTTGCCAGTCTTCTCCACTGTAAAGTTACTTTCCTCCCTCCTCTTTTCATACTCTGCTTTTGGAAGCAAATCACTAAGCACTAAGTCACTGAGTCCATATTTGGAGAAGCATTTGTCCAATTTTGAAGACCCAGGATTTGTTTAGGAAGACCTAAATGTCCCCCTTAATGCTGGGACCACTGGAACTACAAATTTTCTCTTCTCTTTGTTCCGTGCCATTTTTCCATTGTCAAAAGATTTTCTGTTACTTAGCTGCCCCAAATCTATTAGCTTTTGAATACTCTAGAGAGTGAAAACCATATGTTTGATTTTCTGGATGTAGCCGTAAAGGTTTTCTGCCATCCAGCTTCACACTTTCTCTTTTCTCAATTACCATTATACCCTAGTCACTGGAGCCACTAATTTAAAATGTACATCTCTGTCCTCCCATATTTGTCAGCTTCCCCTATTCTTCTCTTTTTCCATACCATTGCTTTCGTGTTCTTTTCTAGATAACATCTGACTCCAAAACTTTCTTCTCTCATTTGAAAAGAAACTTCTTTCCTGGTTTCCAAGGCCCTTTTTTTTTTTTTTATTGGGATAGATTCCTACTCATATCTGCCTTTCCTTGTGCTTTTCTGAATACTCTATGGGCAAAAGGCTGTATCTAAGTATTTACTTGGGTCTTTCATCATTGGTCATTGAGTCTCAGGGCTTTTCCCATAGGAGTTTTCCATAAACACTATGATAATAACATTGTAGCTATATCTGTGTATGGAAAATTACCGGGTCATTTTCTCTCTATTCTGAGCAGTTTGTCATCTCTGGATCTCTATCAATCATCACAGAGAAAAAGTCCACTAAGCCTTTGGTGAGTATGAGAACCATAACCCACAACTTGATGGATGGAAGTGAAACTTGGGGAGAACTCTTCAAGGTCAATCTCTCCACTTGGGAGAGTCGGAAACCAAGTTTCAGAGTAGATATTAGGCAGGGTTAGGAGTTGGGTTGGGTTCATCTATATTCCTGCCCAGTTCACGTTTCTCCAACCTCTGTACCTTAAATCACAGTCCACATTTGGGGTATTGTATTATATCCTAGACCAGTGCTCAGGAATCCAGTCTAGAAAAATTCTGCCTCCATGTGATGCCCTTTTGGTAGTAACTGTCCTTTAAATTTAGGTCTTCAAGGATGAAGAAGCTGACAGTGTTATAAAGAGGTTTATGTGTTATAGAGTCACTGTTTAAACCTGTCTGTCAAAACCTTTGAGAAAACCCAGTCAAAATGTCATTAGTATGAGGAATTATCTCTCCTTCTTTTATCTATCTGATCTGAAAGCTAATGCTTTGTTAGATTTGAGTATGAACTCTTGAATCTTGAAAGTTGTCATTAGTCAATTGTATTGGCTAAGAAAATGTCTTTGCCTGCTTTAACGCTTTCCAGGGAAAATCAAATTGGAAGTGGCAGGGAGAGGAAAGCTGGATTATAGGGAGAAGCTTTTCTAATCTGTAAAGGTTCACCAAGTCTCCACTCAATCTTATATCCCTGGAGTAGTTTGATGTTGGGTGTCATGTGTGAGAATGCCATTTAACATAGTAGCAGAGAAACTCAATTTGGAAGCTCTGGCTATAAATCTCTCTCAAAGGCAGCAAGAAGTTAGGAAGAATGCTCTGAACAATGACAATCTCTCTCTTTCTTTCATTACAATTAGAGGTGATTATTTGGAACCCTCCCTTACACTCAAAACAACTAGACCAGTGCTGTCCAATAGAACTTTCTGTGAGGATGGAAATACAATAGCCATCCTGTCCAATATGATAGTCCCACGTGGCTATTGATAACTTGAAAGGTGGCTAGTGCAATTGAGGAACTGAATTTTAACTTTCATTTAAGTTTATTTTAAATATAAGTAGCCTGTGTGGCCAGTGAAAACCATATGGAATAGCACAGTATGAGAATAATGTTTCTAGGGGAAGCATATAGGGCTCTTACTCTAGAAAAGAACGATATCACAGTGAATATGGCAGCAAGCACAAGGATACAAGATGAGATCTTAGGGCAAGCTCAGGCTCACCAGAGTCATCTATCTTGTATTGAATTCTACTGTTGTCACACGTTATACCAGCCCTTTTTGAGGTTGAAGAAGAGGGCTCTCCCAGAACAAACCTAAATTATTTGAAGAAATATATACTCCAGGCATCATGGATGTTGCTGGCTATCAGAAGGCCCAGAAACATGCTTTAGTCATTATTTTGGAGAACTGGTGTTTGAAGAAGAAAAATGCCCCACCTATCCTCTACTGTGCCCCCAAAGCTACAATTACTGAGTGCTTAAAAGAAGAGGGGACTAGATGGGATTAACTAATATTCCAATTTATGGCTATTGGGTGTGTCCTGGACCACATCTATCTATAACTACAGCTTTCAGAATGGTCCTGGCTCAATTCCCCCTCTGTGAGTTGGGGTAGAAGGGAAGCCATTTCTGAGATCAGTATATTTATTCCCCTCCCTTCTTAAATGTAGAAATGAGACCCAGAGTGGGAAATGAAACTGAGGAACTGAATATTCAAGAAAGCTAGGAAAGTCAGAGGCAAAACTATCACTGTGACTTCTCCTGACATCCACTCCAAACTCGTTCTTCTACCTCACACTTCTGCTCACACGTTACACCATCCTTGGGCCTGAGTCTAGAACTCTGCCTACAGCCATCCATACCTAGATGGCCCTGGATGTGGCCAACCATGTATCTGTCCAGACTCTAGGGCCCTCCTGAGACTGAGAACTGTGTCTCCATACTTATTTTTAGGTGTGTGTGATTATAAGAGAGGTTGTGTGCAAGGAGGTGTGACTTGCTTTGCCTGACTTCTCTGTGTGGCCCATACTTCCACGAGGGGTTTCTGAATGAGTCTGGGGAGAGAGAAACCACACCTGCCTTTGGTCACACTCTCTTGGGGATTTTGCAGGCATAGCTTCATGGACCCCTGCTGTCAGTCCAGGATAAAGAATTTAGGAAAAGCAATATTCTCTGTTACTCTACTGAAGTCCTGCATAGGGGGGAACATTTCACTTATTCTTTCACTTAGCCAAGATTTACCTTTTAAGTTCAGAGATGTTGGTAGGCACTGGGTTTAGGTCTATCAATCCTAGACTTCCTAAGAGATAGAGATAGGAAAATAAATTTTTGCAATGCACTGGCAAAGAGGTTGAGACATGTGTTGCTCATTAAGAGTGATCATTACGCAACATTTCTTTTTCAGGTTCAGAGCAGCCTAGCTGCAAACATTCTGAGCTCTCTATCAGCTCTGGTGGGTTTCATCCTCCTTTCTGTCATACTGGCTTCTTTGGGTCCTGCCTTTTGGACGTGTGTCTTGGACAAACAGCATATACCAACTGAACGGGATTATTCTTACTATCATAGCTTATATGAAAATAATGACTGCCTCAAGGCCAAAACTATTCTGGCTGTAAGTATTTTTATACAGGACATTCCAATCTTATAAGGTTTCTGAAAGCTGTGACTACTTATATTCCCTTCTCTTGAAAACCTCTCTTATTCTTTCTGGCTTGAGCATCTGGGAGAAGGCCAAGGCTGTGTAAAGGAGAGGGGGCTACACGACTGAGATAAAGGGGTTAGGCTATGGGATTACATAATTACTAATTGGGTGGAATGGAAGAGTAAATGTCAAGCAAGGTTGATGATGAAAAACTGAAACTCATTGATAGAGTTTCTTACTAATCAAATTGATTCTATTATTAGAGGCATAAAATATGAGTTTGTCAAACTGACAATCTTGGTACATGGAGTAGTGAATTAAGAAAGATGCAGATGGCAGGAAGACCCAAGTGATCAGGAAATGTCAACAAGGAAACATGTATGTATGTGCAGTGGGGAATTAATTTGGTCTGAGCAGACATCAGGCCCAGCACTGAGAAATGGAGACTAGGAAATATGAGATTTGAAGGTCAGGGTTTCTCCTTCCAGTTACCAAAGTGATGCGCAGTATAGATCAGGCACGAAAGCAACATTGTGTTGTTTTCATTATAACTTACAGAGGTTGATTTATTAAATTAGAAATATAGGAAGATGGAGAATGTTAACTGATAATGACTATTGTTATTGGAGGAAGGAAAACTGTGGAGTTTGGCTAATAGAAGCCCATCCAAAGGAGTTTGGATATACAGAATTGGATGTTCATTTTGAATTTTATAACGAACTTTCACAGTTAAAATCTCATTGATTCTCACAAATCTCTGAGAAGGAACTATCATTATGCATGTTTGATAAATGAGGACATAGAAGCTAGAGAAGTAGAGACCTGCTCAGGTTCACACAGCACTAAGCAATAAAGGTGAAACTAGAATGGGAGCTGTTGCTTCTCAGTTCTGGGTATTATTACACCACTCTGCTTCCTCACTGAGTGGACAACGTGATCAGATTTAGCTATACCTCAGAGAGGTAAGAACACGGTGTATAAAGGGGGCTAGTGATTTAGTTACTGCTCATCCCTCCTCTTCCTCTCAAGGAAATAAATGAGAAAAAGGAATTCATTTGAGCCAATTGCTAGTCTTGGAAAGAGCAGTGTTCTCTTCCTCATGGTGTCCTTACTTCATTCTCTGATGGTTGAGACAGTCTTCATCTCTACCATCACCTCTCAACAAGGCATGAAGGCTTCAGTTGACTCAAGCACCACCAACCTCATATTTCCTACATTTCAGGGAACCATGTCTATAATGCTGATTTGTACAGTGCTAGAATTCTGCCTAGCTGTGCTCGCTGCTGTGGTTTGGTGGAAGCAGGCTCACTCTGACTTCCCTGGGGTGAGTGTATGAACGGGCTCCTGAGTCTTACCTGGTGTATCTCCATTTCTAGTCTGTGTTGAGCCATGTCATCAAGAGTGGCAGAAGGGACAGTCAAATGTGTGTCATGAGATATACATAGGAGGTGGTTTGGTGGTGGTGGAAGACAGTTGGATGAGGAAAAACAGATGGCAATTGAGTAGCTGACCAGCTGAAGATTCACTGAGTGGGAAGACAGTTGAATCTGAGAAATCAACTGGTTCAATCTTCCCATTTTTGTAAATGCAGAAACCTAGGAAGTTAAATGACTTGTCCAGAATTATGCTATGAGTTTGCCTGTGCTCAGCTCAGTGGAACTTGGTTTGCCTCTCTTCTAGGCAGGAACACTGTCTACTACAGCCACTAGTTTCCTTACAGTCTTGACTTGGTGAAGGGCATTCGCAAATGTGATTGGATTCGATAAATATCCTATTCTCTGATTTTTCCTTCTTGTGATCTTAAATTTTTTTTACTCTTAAAAAACACTTTCAAAAATGTTGACTAAAAGTCCATGAGACACCACCTTACCAGCATCATGGACTCATGTCTTCAAAAATTAAAAAGTTTTGATTTATCCAAAATTTTATTAGAGTTAGCAGACTGAATACAAGGCTAATAAATAGTAATTATTTAAAGAACTTAATGACATATAATACTCATCTTGGAATAGCTAAGAGTTCCAAGTATGAGGTTTGGTGGAAATGGCATCAAGATATATATGGTTGAACCTGAGTGATGTCTGAAGAACTGACATATTTTGTTTCTTCTAGAGTGTGCTCTTCCTGCCTCAGAGTTATAAGGATAAATCCAGCATGCCCCCAAGAGCACCTTCTGACTCTGGATATGAAGAATTAATGACTTTTTAGGGAAAAAAGGAAAATATCCATCGGAAATTTGGTTTTATGATGATATATGGAAACCACCCAAAGAGACTCAACTTAAGAAAGCAAAGTTTGAGTTCCCTGAAACGTAGGCTTTTATATAATGAACATTAAAAAAAATCAACCAATATTTGTTTTCTTGTCATTGAGTATATGTGTTCAATGGGGGTCTCTTCATTTGCCTGATATTGGCCTCAGTCAAAGTACAGAACTGTAAATTACCACTGACTAGACTGGCCGAATAGTCAGACCTTTCCCAGAAAACCAGGCAGAACGTGATTCAGTGGATCATGGTGATTTAAGTAAAGGAGACACCTTTTTCTTGTACCCCTTAATTGCCAATGAGAGTTAACTGATTTATTGAGGTGTTCAAACTCTTTTACAGTAGACGCTGGTGTTTCATCACATGTATTTCATTCATTAGTCCATGCAGACCAGCCAGCTACAATTAAGTCTCAGGAACTACATAAGTAATTGGCTTTGAAATAAAATCTTTATTTGATTACTATGACATGTGTTTTTCCAATGCCCCCAAGCAATTGAGTCAATTCTGACACTACCTGGAGATAGCGTCAAATCTCACAGGTTAAGGCCTCAGTTCCAATAGACTGCCCCCCCACACACACTTCAGACACTAATCACAAGCCCAGGTTGTTACCAGTGCTTCTGACCAACCGGCTGGAGCTGGGAGGTTCCCAAGACCCCCTCTTCAGATTCAATTAATTTGCTGGAGCAGTTCACAGAACTCAGGAAAACATTTACTTAATAGACTACCTGTTAATTCTAAAAGGATATAACAGAAACAGCTAGATGGAGGAGATGTGTAGGGTAAAGAAGGGGAAGAGGTGGAGCTTCCATCTTCTCTCTGGGTACATCACTCTCCCCAAATCTACACACTTTCACCAATCCAGAAGCTCTCCCAGTCCTGTCCTTTTGGGTTTTTCTAGAGGCTTCATTATATAGTGATGATTGGCCACTGGTGATTGAACTCAATTTCCAGCCCCTCTCCCCTCCCAGGAGGTCCAGGGGTAGAACTGAAAGTTCCAACCCTCTAATCCAGGTTGGTTGCCCTGGCAACCAGCCACCATCTTTTGGTTACCTAGGAGCTTCCCAAAGTCACCTCATTAACATAATAAAAGATATCTTTACCACTCTTTCACTTAGGAAATTCCATGAATTTTGAGAGCTTTGTGCCAGGACCTGGGAGGAAGATCAAATATATATTTCTTATCATAAATCACAACACCACAATTACATATTTTTTTTGAAAACTCGTTTTGCTACTTTTCCTTGTAAACACAAAATAAGTCAACAAAGATGGATATAAACCTAAATTTGAACTCCCCTTCCCCTCATCAAATAGGCAAACAAAACAAAGAAGCAAACAAAAGTTAATTGAGTGCGTACTGTTATTAAGAGACAACCAGTTCATTTTTTTTTCTGATTTCAAAATAAGAAAGAACAATTGTTCAAGTGTAAAGGTTAAGCCTCAACACACACAACTACACCTGTGCGCATACACACACACAGGTGGGGAAAGAGATCCTCAATTTTATATGAGCTCCAGTCCTTTGAAAGATCTTTTCATGTTTTCCCGACGTGACCCACTGTATCAAGGTCATCCCACTGTATCAGATCTGATGCTGCAACGTTTTCCCTGTCCTGTTTTCCAATCTGAGAGTGAGATGGTGCTTCCTTTGGTTTTAGCTCTGTCTTCAAACTCTCTCCTCATTATGTCTCCTCCTTTTCTTCTGCATCCCCCTACACACATACACAAACACACACACACACACACACGCATATGCACACCATTCCTCTTATTTATTTGCCTAATTATGGGCATTCAACATTTATTGACACTTTTTGGGTACCCATTACTATGCTTGATGCCAGGGTTACAAAGGTGAAAAAGATAGATACACTCCTTAGCCTCAAGGAATTCACAATCTGTTGGGATTGTGATGACAAAATTAGAGAAAGATTGTACAAGGCACTAACGTGCTGTTACACATGCACTATGGTGCTGCTTGAGCACAGAATAAAGAATACGCTCTGCTCCCTAAAAGAATGTAGACGATAAACGTGTGTGTGTGCACACATGCATGAGAAAGAGACACACACACATACACACAGATTTCTTCCTTTGAGAACTCCACCTTCCCAGTGGACATTATCCCAGTGGGTTTGTCATTTACATGGTGCCACATCCTTCCACAGGGGAGGAATATGACCCAGACCCCACAATCAGTGTATTCTACCCACTGTCCTCTCACTCTAGCTCTCTTTCCTCATCCCTGCTACCATATCTTCACCACCACACCACCACTTCCATCGTGATTATCCAAAAAACTGTCCAGTAGCCACAGTTTCCCCGGGGCCTCTCTTCAGCTTTGACTTCTTTCTCCGAGAAGGCAGCCAGCCCTTTAGGCAACACTTGAAGCCAATACTTACAGGTTCAACCTAATTGTCAAGTCAGCCATCCCTATCTTTTCTGTTAAGCAGCAATGCTCCTCTAGCCTTAGTGAAACAAGATTGATGTCTACTTTGAGATATGAAGATTTATTGAAACTGCATTTGTAAAGCACTTACCATTACATCTGGCACATAGAAGATACTCAGTGAACTTTAGTTTTATCCTCTATTTTCTTCCACCTCTCCTCCCCCAATTTGATCCTCTATGACTAAAATCAATTTTAATCTCAATCCACCTTCAGGATTTTGCACCTGATTATTCTCATAAAATCTTTCATTTCTTCAAGGAAAGTCTGTAGAGTGCTCTAAACAGAGAGTGTCAGACTGTGTGGTAAATGTATTTTCTCTCCCCTTTGCTGCAGAGGAAGATTTTGGAATTAATGGTCTTCTCAGAGCTTCCGCACAGGTGACTCTACTGGCATCCAGTGGTGATAATCCAGTGGTGATAATGAGGAGTAATTTTTCCCCCATATAAATCGAAAAGGCAGGCCAGTATACTAACTGTGTCTCCCCAGATAACTGCACTGGAAGCAGGTAACTTAACAACAGGAATTCGTGCCTGCAACCTGTGTCTGTATGTGTCATCAGTGAGGGGGAACTACTCATCTTTCAGAAATTATTTGTTATTTGCATTTGCAAAAAGATATACCAAACAAACCATAACCATAAGAGAGTATAAAATATATTTTAATATAAGAAATACTATTAGAGAGAAAGAAGGGTATTTTATAATGATAAAAGGGTCACTATAGCAAGAAGATAAAAGTGTAAATGAATGTGTACCTAACAGCAAAACCCCACAATATATAAAGCAAAAACCGATAGAATTGAAAGGAGAATTAGAAAACTCACTAGCTATAATTGAGTTTCAAGAGCCTCTTGGTCATTGATAAAAACTATGCAAAAGATCAGGAAGGAATTAAAAGTCTTGAACAATACTATCAACCAATGTAACCTAACTGATAGATATGTCTATTTATATATGTATATATAACTGATATGTATGTGTATATTGCTGTACAGCAATAAAAACTAATACAGATCAAATGCTAGATCTTAAAATAAGACTCAACAAATGAAATGTATATCAGTTATATATATACTGCATATACATATATTAATATAACTACACGTATTTATTAACATTTATACATTTATATATTAAAACACTCCACTCATTGACTGCAGAACATCCATACTTTTCAAGTGCACACATGGAGCATTCTCCAGCATTGACCGTGTTGTACACAGAATTATAAAATGGCTATCGATGATCCTCACTCTTGTATAATCTCCTTCCAGAGTTTGAATGAAACTGTAACTATCATGAAATCTCACTCTCAGAATTATATTATGTTATATGGCAAAGGGGCTTTTGAAGATAAAGTTGCTAAGTTGAATTTGGGTTAGTCAAAGGGAGATTACCTGGGCAGCCTGATCTATTCACATGAGTCCTTCAAATCTGGGTCTGGAGGTCAGAGACAGAAAGTCAGAGCTTCAAAGCAGCAGAGGCATTCTCCTGCTGGCCATGAAGTGGTGCCATGTCTTGGGGTGAGTCATGTGGCAATGAACAGTCAATAGTCTCTAGAAGGCTCCCAGTTGACGGCCAGCAAGAAATGGGACCTCATTCTCAGAGTTGCAAAGAACTGACTGCTGCCAACACCCTGAATGAGTTTGGAAGAGGACCCTATACCCAAGATGATATTGAAGCCTGTCCACACTTGAGTTCACCTATGTGAGACCCCGAACAGAGAACCATCCGCACAATGCCCAACTCTTGACCCACGGACACTGTGAGGTGGTAAATTTGGATTGTGTTAGGACACTAAGTTTGTGGCAATTTATTTGTTATACAGCAATAGAAAACTAATACGGATCATATGCTAGGTCTTAAAACAATACTCAATACATTTTAAAAGATTGAAATAATAAAAAGTATGTTCTCTGAACAAAACAGAATTAAATTAGAAATTAACAGGAGAAAGAAATTGTAAGAATCTCTAAATAACTGGAATTTAAATCACTCACTTCTCAATTGACTATGGATCAAAGAAATCAAAAAGGAAATACAGAAATATTTTGAACAGAATAAAAAAGAAAACGCAGCATATCAAAATTTATGGGATATAGCTAAAGTAGGGTTCAAATGAAAATTTATGGCTTTAAATGCCTGTATTAGAAACACAAAAAGGCCTCAAATCAATAACCTAAGCTTTCTCCCTATGAAACTAGAAAAAGGAGAGCAAACTATTTCGTAAGTAAGCAGAAATAAGGAAATAAAATTAAAGTGACAATCAAGGATGAGAAAACAAAAATATCATTTAAAAAAAATCAATGAAGCCAAAGTTGGTTCTTTGAAAATAACAAAATTAACAAACTTTAGCTAGACTGACCAACAAGTCAAAGTGACCCCAAAAGAATTAAAGAACTTGAATATATAATAAGTAGAGAAATTGAAATAATATTCAAACACTTTCCTACCAAGAAAAGCTCAGACCCAAATAATTTCTCTTTTGAATTCTATCAAATATTTAAAGAAAAAATAATACCAATCCATTACAGACTTGTTCACAAAAGAAAGGAGGAGGGGACACTCCCAACCTAGAACATGAGGCCAGTATTACTCTGAAACCAAAGCCAGACAAAGACATTAGAAGA